GTCAGAAAGGAAATGAAACGGTGATTGAATACCGTAAACGATTTGAAGAATGCGCAACTACAGTATTATCTTTCATGGGTGATTCGTGGCTAGATGTGTTTGCCTCAAAAACGACCGCATATCATGAAATTAAAAACAATCATCCGACTAATGGCTTGTCGGATAGAGAAAAGAAGCGAGTTGCCGCAGAAGTCGAGGCACTTCAAGAAGAATTTCAGGAAGAGTTTGTAAAGTTGTTCTGTGCTGCTGGGTTATTGCACAACTGTGATCGTGCACGATACCAGCCGGTACTTGATCATTTTGTTACTGCATACGCTGTGGAGCACGTGGATTATGCTCAGCGAGATTTGTTCCTGAGAGATGTGGAAACTGCGGCTAAGGCGCTACACAATCATCGGGTAAAGAAAACAACCACACCGAAACATAACAACAACAAAAACACAAATGATAATGCGAACACACCACAGAACGGTACTAACCTTGCACAGGATTACAACAAGGAGAGTAAGCGTAAATGTTTTTGCTGTGGTAAGGCGGATCATGTTGCACCGCGATGCGAACATCGATTCCGACCCAAGGAACAATGGAAAGATCCGACAAAATGGAGATCGTATCCCAGGAATGAATCGGGACGCAAACAGGTACACCTGCAGACAAGCACCGAGGAGGGATCTGTGCAGTCAAGTGTGACAGCTAACAATGATGGTGGTATTTCTCAGCAGAACCATATGCAGACTGGTTTGGCTGACAGGAGTGGTGGACCACAGCCTCGAAAGCAAAAGATTGGCATTCAGGGGTGGAATATGGCTCAGTTTGGCGGACGTAAGAGAGTATTGCAGCCTATTTTAAGACCTTCAAGATTTGGGACGTCACCACCACACGACATAATGGCAAACTGGCAGGTACAATTGGATGCTGTCAGAGCAGCCGAAGAAGACGTCAGTGTTGCAAGTACACAGAGCTCCAACGTACAGGTTGGTAGGGAAGTAGCTGTGATGCATTCCCAAGCTCATCGGGGACTCAAGTACAAGGATAGCGGCGATCTGGTATATCTTGATTCAAATGATTATAAGGATGGCAAGATTCCGGAGCATTTTGATATGCATGATCCGAAGTGGTTTCGTTCGGGCGCAACAGGTCCGTCCCTTGAC